TATTAATTTATATTAACAAATAAATATATAAAAAATATATCTAGATTAAAATTTATATTATAAAATATCAAATAATTTTTAAATATTTTCAAAAATTAGCATACTTATGTATTAAAAACTTTTAATGTAATAGATAAATAAATTTTAAAAAAACTTATTTTTGAATTACTTGAATCTCTCCTAATTGCCACCGGTTAATTTGTTAAATGAAGCAAGTGTATTTATAAGGACAGAAGTTCTTCTGTGCCACCAAATTGCGTAGGGCTATACAAAGGAAATGATTAAAAAATGTTCATAATGATGATTACAATTACAATTTTCATAATCAGTTTTCTTTTCTTTTCCTATGTTTCCGTGTTGAAGGGCTATCAGATGTAGAATCCAGGCCAAAACATTTGAGAAATGCAACCGTAGCTAGTTGAAAATAATGGCAAGGGTGAACATACAATGATGAATCCTCCTCCTCCTCTGCAATTTCCTCCCTTCTGATCATGCTTGGACCCGTTTCTATTTCGCCTTTTATAAGTAAGTTTTGCCCACCCTGATAACATACTTAAAAAGTCAGTGCAAATGCCTTTATGACTCACCTATTTTGAATCATAATGCATAAACTTTCAATACAGAAATTACCCATATACTTGTATGAACTAGAGTTGATGACCAGTTTCAATAGAAAAGGTAAAAAGAGTTGGTGACAAGTCATAGATATATACAAGTATATATCACGATAGGAATTGATCCGGTTTAAGGAATTGATCCATAATATCCTCTTTCGAGAATATATCACAATAGGAAAGAATAAAACTTCTAAACTAAGATTAATCAATGAAAACAGAAAACAATACAATAAGTACATGTTCATATTTCCACTTCATACACACACTATATATTTCAACCACCACCATACCTTCCAAGCGAGCAAGGCAAGTAAGAAAAATTATTAAGCTATATAACATGTATTTAAATTTGAGTTTATCAGAACAAATTAATATTGTTAACAATATATATATTGAGAGGCTTAACTATGTTAAGGAAAAAGGATAACGAGTTCAGGATTATCTAATGATTTCTTGGCAAGTAAGTATCGAGAGGAACAAGTCCAAGAAACAATGCATCTTTTCATAGAAGTTATCATAAATTATATCTATCCTTATAATAGACATTAAACAAATAATACTTTAATATACAATCTTATCGTAAACAAATTTAATATGGAATCATTCATTCCATCTTCCGTCTTGATAAATTTCCATAAATTTTAATTGAACCCTACTTATCTAATGCCCTTCGAGAAAAAAGACTAACACAAATTTTCGCTGCGATAAAAATCAATATGAAATGCTTCGTCGTTCCTCAGCCACACTAAATCATGTTAGTCAACATACACAAGGCACACGACTTGCTAATTTTAGATTCAATATTTGTCAAACAACAGCAATCAACATTGATTTTCATTCCCAATTCTCACTTAAAATTATTGTTTTCTCACCAAAAGAAAATCCTGCTTGAAATAATAAATACAACTCACCAAAAATCAAATCCTATTTCTTAGATGTCATTTGATGTCAAAATTAGCATTCCATCTCTGGAACCCGTGTTCTAGTCTAAATTAAGTTTGGATGGTATTTGCTTAATATGAAGTGTGAGAAGATATAATTTGAGTAGTTAGTTACTCCAAAATAGTTAGAAATTCTCCCATCCTTCTTTCTTCTTATTATTAGAAACACTTCTTCCATACTGTCAAGTGGCAACAAACTTTCCTTACAATTAAAAAGTCCAAAATCAAACATAACAAAGCAATACTAAATGCAGCATGCCTAGGAGGCTAGGACAGGATGGCCATAACCATTTTCTATAATTCACCGACAAATGAATAAAATCCAATGAAACAAAGTTTGGATTTAATTTAATCCATCACATAATATAAAAAACGATCACTCATATCACTTTTTTTTTTTTTCATTTATAATGCTTTAACTTAAAAGTTTCTCTAAGATATCAAATTCATATTCAGAATAACGACTAACTAATCAAAGAAACTAATATAAACTAATTTAAATCATATTTTTTTTTATATATATATTTAGATAATTTCTTTTAAGAAACACTCTTAAAAAAAATCAAAATAAACTTTTCACAATCTAAAATAGTTTATACATAAATTGAAAATAAGATTTAAAAAAAATTGATATGAAAGAGTTTCTAAAAAAATCAATCCATGCATAAACTAGCTTTTAAGATACAGAGAAACTATTTTATGTTTCTATTGCAAAATAATTTATGTATATTATTAAAAAAAAAAAAAAAAAAACCTAACCTTTTGGTTTCTATACTAGTTTCCTAAAAGTGATTAGGGAAAATTTAGTCTAACTGTGCAATGAACAATTGATCCGAGTTGACAAAGTAAAAATGAGAATTAAAATGGTAAAATAAATTGTGAGATTGAAAAAGTAAGTAGGTGACCTGAAGACGGTGTTGACGGGTGGTTGGATGAGAGGGCGAGGAATCGCGATTGGCGAGCGGCAGCGGTGATTCAATCGGCTGAATATCGTGAATAAGGAAGACGCCGGAAGAGGTCAACGACGGCGGCGCATCGGCGGCGACGTGGTTGTCGTCGGGATCCAAAGGAAAGACGGCGAAGAAAAAGAGGAGTCCAAGGAGGAGGAGGAGGACCAACAGTTGAGTCAAAACGAGCCATGAGGTTGTGTTGCTCTCTTCTTCCCCTCTGTTATCCAACATCTCAATCTCAGAAAGAGAAGAAGAGCAAAACTTGCAACTTGCAATTGCCTAGTTAATGAGGGATGCGTCTTCACGCGCCGCTCCACGCGTTCTTCTTCTGATAATGCCTCACTTTTCACGCCAACACCCAATGCTTTTAAAATCAATTTAATTAATTGCGATTCCACTCAATTTTACTTCTTTAAAATACAGTACATGTATTGTGTGAAAACTCAAACCACCACTCGACAGTGGCGCATTTTTTCTATAATTAACTCTCCTAAACTACAATTTAACGGCATTCATTATGTAACATTGTTTTCCAAATCACCTAACTTAAATTTAAATAATATCAATATTTATCATTAATGTTTACTTCTGTCTTAAAAATTAAATTAATTCATGAAATGTGAATTGGTAAAATCTAATAGCACTCATATAATTAAACATATTTATTCTTATCAAAAATGAATTAATTGACATATAGTTATATTTCTGCCCCGTACATTCGATGTCTTAGGTTGTTCGTTAACAAGAAATGACACATATGTGACATGCATGAACTTAATTTTAACTTGTTTGTTTGTGCGTTTTTTTCTTCTTCTAAATTTGAAATAGAATACATACGTTCTAGATGAAAATCCAAACAAGCACATTTTAAGAAGTCCCAACTTGAATCTTAAGAGTCCAAATGCAAGTTACAGGAATGACAAATTTATATACATCCCATGGATAATCGTAAAAATAATACTAATAGATAAATTAAATATTTGTCTACTAAAGGATGAGTTTGGAATATGGGATTTATCTATAAATTTTAATGATGCTTGGTATAGGTACAAGTAATATATTATTTACCCGTCTCCCACTCGTAAGCATGTAGGTATGTGTATATATTATAAATTAGATCGATTAATATTATGGTATGATGTATTTCATAATTTTTATAAATTTTAAATTTAACTAATTTAACTATTTTATTCTATAATATTATTAATTATATATACAAAAATTGTATAAATTACTAATTATATTTTTTTATTTAAAAAACATTTAAATTAAACAATGTTATAAAAAAGTTAATCTTGAATCAACAACTCATCATTAATTCTATTAGTCCTCGTTAATTTGATCTTGACAAATCATCTATTAAGTGGTTAATTTAATCTTGATAAATCATCTATCAAGTGGTTAATTTGCTTTATGGCAGTCCATTTCACTCTTTCTCTCGCACTCTCTCTATCTACCTATATATAATATGTATAAAACACACACATATATTATAAAATTTACAAATAACATTTTATGTTATATTTCTTTCGTCTCATAATGAATACAGTTTAAGGTTTCTACAAATAATTTAGAGATATGATAGAAACACACTTTTCTTAACACATACATACTTTTATTAGTGAAAACTTATTGAAAACTAAAATATAAAAAAATAAAGTCATTAAATAGGTGTAATAAATTATATGATGGTTGAAATGATTTATAAAGGAGTAAATTATGAAAAATTAATTAATATTACATTGAAAACTTGAAAATATCATTTTTTTTTTGTGGACATTTTCCTATTGATAAAACTGGAGTGGGGTAGAGAAAGTATACGATTATAATAATTTTTACATTTAAATTGAAAGTATATTAATAATTGAAATGAATAATTTTCATACAAGTAATTTTTAAATATTTTTCTAATAATAATTGTAGTTTTAAAAAACTTGTGTATATATATATATATATATATAATTTTAAGAAAAATAAAAACATAAATAAAAAACTGTATAATATAGTTAAAAATATATATTTTTTTTATAATTTATAAAGTTTAAACATTTAAGTTTAAAAGTTGTTTTTTATTTTATTTAAATATATGTAGTTTTAATGAAAGAATAATTTTGTTATTTTAGCACAATTCATATCATATCTATTGATCTAAATGCAAGACATGTAATATAAAATTGTTATGCAGCAAACATGAATTAAATAAAATTAAAATTAATGTTATCTTATCTTATATATATCCTCACCATGAAACGGGGCTTAAGGTAGTGAATATAATATTTTGTAAGGTAAAGATGAAAAGAAAGTGATGGATTATGAGAAATTATTTAATTAATAGTTGTGAAAAGTTAGGTAAAAATGGTTGTAAGTTGTAATCGGAGTGGATGGGCAGTTAAGAAAAGGGAAAAGAATCTATTTAAAGCATGGAGAGTTGGCATGGTGAAGCCGTAGGCAGAGAAATAGGATCTCAAGACAATCCCAAGCCGCAAAACCGAGAGTTGAAAGAAAAGCCACCCTCCCTTCCTCTCTCATGGCACTGATCTTCTCTTCCTGCAGCTTCCAATGGGAGAGCCAAGATCTGCATCACCACCACCACCGCCACCACCGCCACTCCCCATCTCCCTCGTCCAACCCTCCCGCAGGAAGCGCCAGAAGCCTAAAATGGTTCGCATGTTCCGCTCCGTCTTCCGCTCCCTCCCCATCATAACCCCCTCCTGCAGGTTCCCCGCCATCCCCGCCACCGAAGGCCACCAACACCACCACCACCAGAAGAGCCTCAACAGCGTCAACAGCGGCGCCAAGGTCTCCGGCACCCTGTTCGGGCGGCGCAAGGGCCGCGTGAGCCTCTCGGTGCAGGAGAACCCCAAGTGCCTCCCCTCCATGGTGGTGGAGCTCTCCATGCAGACGAGCGCGCTGCAGAAGGAGATAGCGAACGGCATGGTGAGGATTGCGCTTGAGTGCGAGAAGCGAGCGGATAAGGACAAGACGAAGATCGCGGACGAACCCCTCTGGACCATGTATTGCAATGGCAAGAAGTGCGGGTACGGCGTTAGAAGAGAGGCCACCGAGGAGGATTTGTATCTGATGGAGCTTCTTAAAGCTGTCTCCATGGGCGCCGGCATGCTTCCTTTGAGAGCTGACGTCGTCGACGACGCCGGAGAGGTTGCCTACATGCGAGCCCCTTACGAGCACGTTGTTGGCTCCAGGGATTCTGAGACTCTCTACATGTTGAGTCCAGACCAGGTCACTAGTGGCCCCGACATTACTATATTTTTTGTCAGGATTTAATTAAGGATAATTAATATTGCTTTTCTTTTTCTTTTTCTTTTATGAGGTGGTGGTGATTTAATATCTGTACATGTATGAGTTAGGATTCATCATTCATGCAACCCCGGCCCGGATCCATGTATTAGGCCAGTAGTCCACGTACGTTGTTAATTAATTCTATGTATGTACTCTACACTCATGCATTAGCATTCATGTTATATGTATATTCCCTCTTCCTTAATTACGTGCATCATTAATGTTTAGGTTAGGTTTGTTTGTCATCTTCCTTACGTATGGAGAGAAAGCTTTTTGGTAGAGTGCACGTGAAATTTTACGAGGTTTTAAATTTCACTTCAAAAGGAAATTAGCTTACGCTGGTATATACGAGGTGAATTTAATGAGTTCAAAATTCGCCTTTGGTTGCTTTACGATTACGACAGAAATGAAAGAGAGATATATATCCAGGGGGAAATCGGAAGATATACGATCATGCAAGGTATCAAGCAACTCATTCTCACGTGAGGAAATAACTTCGATCTTCAGCCACCCTTGAAACTTAGATCGATATAGATTAAATGGTAATTAACAAGACTTTTCGTTTACCATATTTGTTAAGATGTATATCATTTTTCTATGAGTAGACATTTATAAAAATAAACTCACATTTTTAGTCATTACTTTTAATTTAGGTTCTGTTAAGAAAATTTGAGCTTTTAGAGAAATTTTATGAGTCGTGTTATAATATATTTCATCATATTTATTTAATTATTTTAAAATTTTGAATTAAATTTTTTTTAATTAAGTTTTAATAATAAAATAATTTTAAGATCTTATTTAGTGATAATTCATTTCATCATTAGCTTATAACATATATAATTTATATCAATTAAATCTAAAAAATTGATTTTAAGAAAATTCTTTTGCAGTGACAATGATAACAAATATTTTAAATTATTTAATAAGCATTAATTGGATGTAATTTTTTTTAATATAATTTAATATTTTAATAAGATATTAAATTTTTTTAGTGTTTTTTAATATTTTTAATTTATAAAAACAAGTCAATACTTTAATATCAAATTAATATTTACTAATTAATATTAATTGACATAAATGTTAACAACTTATGCCCTTTAATTAAAATATTAATAGTTCATATCTTTACTTTGTTATAGAATAAAATATATTAAGAGGAAAATATCCACCTTATATATACTTACTCCTATTAAAATTAATGCAAAAAAAATAATTGATTTCATATTTTAAAATTTATTAAAATATATTATGAGTATAGAAAAAAAAATTTAATATATGTATAAAATAATCAAAAATGAAATATTTTTAATGTGAATAAAATATATTAATCTTTAAATAATGCACAATTTTATCACCATCACTTTTATCAAAAATAATTTTTTTACAAATTATACTATTTTTATAAAATTCAGTCGGTATATATTCATTCTAATGTCATTTTTATTTTAAATTCAAAGAAAAATCAAACTAATTTTTCCATAATTTTTTAAATGAGTAACAAATTTTCAATTAATCTAACATATATACTGTTTTAGGTAATCTGACTGACACGGGAATAAGAACTCTGGTGTAAATCGTTTTACCAAACGGCTGAGGAAAGTGCTCCCATGCTCTTGACTGATATGTAGTTTGCTAGCTTCACATTAGTATGCGTTTAATCAATCGTATCCACCTAGTACTTACTTATATAATTTGCTACGTTACTTATCATCTAGTTAGGCATTAATTAATTTCATTTTATTTGTACGAATTGGATGATTGGTTTATTTGAAAAACCTTTTGATCAAATACCACTGCACACAGTGTGTTACACGAAATGCTTGAATGCATGCCGTCTCATTTTTTAATCATTGCACAACGTAAATTTAATAATTAAATTATTACATTTTCGTCTTTTAATTCGGCCCATAATTTTAGTATCGATTCTAATTAAAGTTATAACATTGACTATCTTATTAATTATAAGTATTTGATACAATATAATTTAATAAATATTTATATTAAATATATTTTTACTTATTTTTAATCTCTTTTATCATTTTTTAGTGTAAAAATAAAGACTAATAATATAATTTAGATATTACTAAATAATAATCTAGTAACAGCATAACTAAAAGTTTTTTCATTCATCCCAACTAGAAAGATAGAACTGAATTTAGTGACATTATAAATTATTATAGCAATAAGATAAATTTTTGTGCTAACTTTAATGTAAGTTTCATCCATACATCAACTAATTTGATAGCTGTCAATCTTGCAAAGGCTTCTAAATGTTATACTAATATTAAGGATTTTGCATACATTCCAAAATTGTATCTTCTTTTTTATTGTTAATGAATTTAGTTAAGCTTCAACTCTTAAAAAAAAAAACTAAAATGGTCATCTTAAAAAAAGACTAAAATTAAAAATTAAAATTACATTAGAAGAATAAAAATGTGATTTTGACTTAATAGTTAATAATATTTTTTATCGGTCAATATTAAAATAACGGTAATAAATTTAAAAAAGATATGTATATATAACCTCAACTCTAACATTATTATTGAATCGAACTTTATGGTATAAAATCATGTACGAGAATGAATAATCACCACGTGATGTAATGGCAAAGGATAATTTTCTATGAGAAATCACATTGATGAAGAATAAATATAAAATAAAGAAGTTATTTTTCATCTTTCACTTCAAAAATTAAAGAATCTATATCCCCATTAACATCTTTCAAAAAATTGATCATAATAACGCCGAACATGGAAACCCAATCTCCAAAATCTTCATTGTCGATTTGTCGTGTCCACCGCTCCTTCGTGAATGACTCGTGTCATTTATTCCCCCTGATTAACATGGCCTATTTGAACAGAGCTCTACTTTTTTTTTTTTTTTTTTTTTTTTTTTT